CAGAAAGACATCTACAGGGGTCAGTGATGAGTGGAGCAGACAGGATCTCCGTACAGAAAGACATCTACATCGGTGATTAGTGGAGCAGACAGGGTCTCCATACAGAAAGACATCTACATCGGTGATGAGAGGAGCAGACAGGATCTCCATACAGAAAGACATCTACATCGGTGATGAGTGGAGCAGACAGGATCTCCATACAGAAAGACATCTACATCGGTGATGAGTGGAGCAGACAGGATCTCCATACAGAAAGACATCTACAGGGGTCAGTGACAAGAGGAGCAGACAGGATCTCCATACAGAAAGACATCTACAGGGGTCAGTGATGAGTGGAGCAGACAGGGTCTCCATACAGAAAGACATCTACATCGGTGATGAGTGGAGCAGACAGGATCTCCATACAGAAAGACATCTACAGGGGTCAGTGATGAGTGGAGCAGACAGGATCTCCGTACAGAAAGACATCTACAGGGGTCAGTGATGAGTGAGGCAGACAGGATGTCCGTACAGAAAGACATCTACAGGGGTCAGTGATGAGTGGAGCAGACAGGGTCTCCATACAGAAAGACATCTACAGGGGTCAGTGATGAGAGGAGCAGACAGGATCTCCATACAGAAAGACATCTACATCGGTGATGAGTGGAGCAGACAGGATCTCCATACAGAAAGACATCTACATCGGTGATGAGTGGAGCAGACAGGATCTCCATACAGAAAGACATCTAAAGGGGTCAGTGATGAGTGGAGCAGACAGGATCTCCGTACAGAAAGACATCTACAGGGGTCAGTGATGAGTGAGGCAGACAGGATGTCCGTACAGAAAGACATCTACAGGGGTCAGTGATGAGTGGAGCAGACAGGGTCTCCATACAGAAAGACATCTACTGGGGTCAGTGATGAGTGGAGCAGACAGGATCTCCATACAGAAAGACATATACAGGGGTCGATGATGAGAGGAGCAGACAGGATCTCCATACGGGGGGGATGAAAGACATCTGAATAATATCTAACTGTGGGTCACAGTCTCACAGTTAGTTGTTGTATCACACGTCAAGTATATATCATGTCTAACTGAACCCATCAGTGGGTCACAGTCTCACAGTTAGTTGTTGTATCACACGTCAAGTATATATCATGTCTAACTGAACCCAACAGTGGGTCACAGTCTCACAGTTAGTTGTTGTATCACACGTCAAGTATATATCATGTCTAACTGAATCCATCAGTGGGTGACAGCCTCACAGCTTGTTGTATCACACGTCAAGTATATATCATGTCTAACTGAACCAATCAGTGGGTGACAGCCTCACAGCTTGTTGTATCACACGTCAAGTATATATCATGTCTAACTGAACCCATCAGTGGGTGACAGCCTCACAGTTTGTTGTATCACACGTCAAGTTTATACACTGAATGTGTGAAGTGAAGAGGCACCACATTCTGGACTGGTGGCTGACATAGCCGTGTAGAACCAGTAGTGTAGAACCAGTAGTGTAGAACCAGTAGTGTAGAACCAGTAGTAACCACACCATACAATGGCTCGGTCTCACACACAGCCAGTGCGTTCACCCGAGACCTTGCAATTAACATATTTGTATGCCCTGATTTGTGCAATTGTTGAAAGTGCTGCCAGCAAATCTGAGTATTCATGACCAACCCTGCCTCACAATAACCCCTCCACAAAGTGACTACAATCGAAGAATGCCTCCCAACAAGCTGGTATCACACAGGATATCTGCCACTGGACTCCACCCATTAGGGAATCCCTCTGCAGGAACTGCACTGACTTGTAAACTGTAATCACTGCCACACATAACATGCACATGATAAGTTTCATGCATACTTTTGCATTCCCCAACAAAGTGGAGATAAAACCATGGTCAGATTCATACTAACTAAATCATGACTCATACACACTAAATCAGGACTCACACACACTAAATCAGGACTCACACACACTAAATCAGGACTCACACACACTAAATCATGACTCATACACACTAAATCAGGACTAACACACACTAAATCAGGACTCATACACACTAAATCAGGACTCACACACACTAAATCAGGACTCACACACACTAAATCAGGACTAACACACACTAAATCAGGACTCATACACACCAAATCAGGACTAACACACACTAAATCAGGACTAACACACACTAAATCAGGACTAACATACACTAAATCAGGACTAACACACACTAAATCAGGACTAACACACACTAAATCAGGACTAACATACACTAAATCAGGACTCACACACACTAAATCAGGACTAACACACACTAAACTAGAAAGTGTTTTTACTCGTAAAAACATATGTCTCCCCCCACTCCCCTAACCCGCATTCATTCGTTTACTTCACGTTAAACCCCATCTCTTCATTCCCACCCTCCATTACTAAATAACAGAGACAAAAATAGAACTCCTAGAAATTTCAAACAACTAATGGGCACCACTTCAGTGCTGGGTTAATGTGTATACAAAGTTTCGCGAAAAAATATTAAACGGTTTCTGAGTTATGGTCAGGAAACAAAGCTTACCCCCATTCAGAGCCTATGTTCAACTTATCTCCATGGAAACAAGAAAAAATAAAAATGTCAAAAATCTCTAAATAGCAAAAGGCACCACTTCAGTGCTGGGTTAAAGTGTATACAAAGTTTCGCGAAAAAATATTAAACGGTTTCCGAGTTATGGTCCGGAAACCAAGCTTACCCCCATTCAGAGCCTATGTTCAACTTATCTCCATGGAAACGAGAAAAAATAAAAATGTCAAAAATCTCTAAATAGCAAAAGGCACCACTTCAGTGCTGGGTTAATGTGTATACAAAGTTTCGCGAAAAAATATTAAACAGTTTCTGAGTTATGGTCCGGAAACGGTGGAAACGCCAACGCCGACGCCGACGGGAACCGTGCCAAAAACAATATGTCTCCCTCCATTCTGGGGGAGACATAATCAGGACTAACACACACTAAATCAGGACTCACACACACTAAATCAGGACTAAAACACACTAAATCAGGACTAACACACACTAAATCAGGACTAACACACACTAAATCAGGACTAACACACACTAAATCAGGACTCACACACACTAAATCAGGAATAACACACACTAAATCAGGACTAACACACTAAATCAGGACTAACACACACTAAATCAGGACAAACACACACTAAATCAGGACTAACACACACTAAATCAGGACTAACACACACTAAATCAGGGCTAACATACACTAAATCAGGACTCACACACACTAAATCAGGACTAACACACACTAAATCAGGACTAACACACTAAATCAGGACTAACATACACTAAATCAGGACTCACACACACTAAATCAGGACTAACACACACTAAACTAGAAAGTGTTTTTACTCGTAAAAACATATGTCTCCCCCCACTCCCCTAACCCGCATTCATTCGTTTACTTCACGTTAAACCCCATCTCTTCATTCCCACCCTCCATTACTAAATAACAGAGACAAAAATAGAACTCCTAGAAATTTCAAACAACTAATGGGCACCACTTCAGTGCTGGGTTAATGTGCATACAAAGTTTCGCGAAAAAATATTAAACGGTTTCTGAGTTATGGTCAGGAAACAAAGCTTACCCCCATTCAGAGCCTATGTTCAACTTATCTCCATGGAAACGAGAAAAAATAAAAACGTCAAAAATCTCTAAATAGCAAAAGGCACCACTTCAGTGCTGGGTTAAAGTGTATACAAAGTTTCGCGAAAAAATATTAAACGGTTTCCGAGTTATGGTCCGGAAACCAAGCTTACCCCCATTCAGAGCCTATGTTCAACTTATCTCCATGGAAACGAGAGAAAATAAAAATGTCAAAAATCTCTAAATAGCAAAAGGCACCACTTCAGTGCTGGGTTAATGTGTATACAAAGTTTCGCGAAAAAATATTAAACAGTTTCTGAGTTATGGTCCGGAAACGGTGGAAACGTCAACGCCGACGCCGACGGGAACCGTGCCAAAAACAATATGTCTCCCTCCATTCTGGGGGAGACATAATCAGGACTAACACACACTAAATCAGGACTCACACACACTAAATCAGGACTAACACACACTAAATCAGGACTCACACACACTAAATCATGACTAACACACACTAAATCAGGACTAACACACACTAAATCAGGACTAACACACACTAAATCAGGACTAACACACACTAAATCAGGACTCACACACTAAATCAGGACTCACACACACTAAATCAGGACTCACACACAAACTAAATCAGGACTAACATACACTAAATCAGGACTAACACACACTAAATTAGGACTAACACACACTAAATCAGGACTAACACACACTAAATCAGGACTCACACACACTAAATTAGGACTAACACACACTAAATCAGGACTCACACACCTAAATCAGGACTAACATACACTAAATCAAGACTCACACACACTAAATCAGGACTAACACACACTAAAATCAACACTCACACACACTAAATCGACGGGACGGGAACCGTGCCAAAAACAATATGTCTCCCTCCATTCTGGGGGAGACATAATCAGGACTAACACACACTAAATCAGGACTAACACACACTAAATCAGGACTAACACACACTAAATCAGGACTAACACACACTAAATCAGGACTAACACACACTAAATCAGGATTCACACACACTAAATCATGACGAAAACACACTAAATCAGGACTAAAACACACTAAATCAGGACTCAGACAACCTAAATCAGGACTAACACACACTAAATCAGGACTAACATACACTAAATCAGGACTAACACACACTAAATCAGGACTCACACACACTAAATCAGGACTCACACACACTAAATCATGACTAACACACACTAAATCAGGACTCACACACACTAAATCAGGACTAACACACATTAAATCAGGACTAACACACAGACAAGTACATTGCAGCCCCCACATGCTGACACTGTAGAATTAGTAGGACGCACCTTCTCTGGTGAGCTGTGATTAGTGGAGCGCCCATTGGCCATATTGGCGTAGCGTTGTGAGGACGACCTGCTCCTCTCACTGCCAACGCGGTGGCTGTCACGACTAGGTGGGGGATTTCGAGGGGAAGTGGCTTTCTTCAGCACCTCCTGCGCTGCCTGTCGCTGATAGATACGACCGAAGTGCTGCAAGGAGAAAGCACAACTACATCACCAACTTGTTACAAGTGATAGATAGGTGGACTAGTGAAGGACAGGTGGACACGTGACAGACAGGTGGACTAGTGACTGACTGGTGGACTAGTGACAGACTGGTGGACAAGTGACAGACTGATGGACAAGTGACAGACTGGTGGACTAGTCACTGACTGATGGACTAGTGACAGACTGGTGGACAAGTGACAGACTGGTGGACAAGTGACAGACAGGTGGACTAGTGACTGACTGGTGGACTAGTGACACACTGATGGACTAGTGACAGACTGGTGGACTAGTCACTGACTGATGGACTAGTGACAGACTGGTGGACAAGTGACAGACTGGTGGACAAGTGACAGACTGGTGGACAAGTGACAGACAGGTGGACTAGTGACTGACTGGTGGACTAGTGACACACTGATGGACTAGTGACAGACTGATGGACAAGTGACAGACTGATGGACAAGTGACAGACTGGTGGACAAGTGACAGACTGGTGGACAAGTGACAGACTGGTGGACAAGTGACAGACTGGTGGACAAGTGACAGACAGGTGGACTAGTGACTGACTGGTGGACTAGTGACACACTGATGGACTAGTGACAGACTGGTGGACTAGTGACAGACAGGTGGACTAGTGACAGACTGGTGGACAAGTGACAGACTGGTGGACAAGTGACAGACAGGTGGACTAGTGACTGACTGGTGGACTAGTGACAGACTGGTGGACAAGTGACAGACTGATGGACAAGTGACAGACTGGTGGACTAGTCACTGACTGATGGACTAGTGACAGACTGGTGGACAAGTGACAGACTGGTGGACAAGTGACAGACTGGTGGACAAGTGACAGACAGGTGGACTAGTGACTGACTGGTGGACTAGTGACACACTGATGGACTAGTGACAGACTGATGGACAAGTGACAGACTGATGGACAAGTGACAGACTGGTGGACAAGTGACAGACTGGTGGACAAGTGACAGACTGGTGGACAAGTGACAGACTGGTGGACAAGTGACAGACAGGTGGACTAGTGACTGACTGGTGGACTAGTGACACACTGATGGACTAGTGACAGACTGGTGGACTAGTGACAGACAGGTGGACTAGTGACAGACTGGTGGACAAGTGACAGACTGGTGGACAAGTGACAGACTGGTGGACAAGTGACAGACTGGTGGACTAGTGACAGACTGGTGGACTAGTGACAGACTGGTGGACTAGTCACTGACTGATGGACTAGTGACAGACTGGTGGACAACTGACTGACATACGGACTAGTGACAGACTGGTGGACAACTGACTGACTGGTGGACTAGTGATAGACTGGTGGACAAGTGACAGACCGGTGGACAACTGACAGACTGGTGGAATAGTGACTGACTGGTGGACTAGTGACACACTGATGGACTAGTGACAGACTGGTGGACAAGTGACAGACTGGTGGACAAGTGACAGACTGGTGGACTAGTGACAGACTGGTGGACTAGTGACAGACTGGTGGACACGTGACAGACTGGTGGACTAGTGACAGTCTGGTGGACTAGTGACAGACTGGTGGACTAGTGACTGACTGGTGGACTAGTCACTGACTGGTTGACTAGTCACTGACTGATGGATTTGTGACTGACTGATGGACTAGTGACAGACTGGTGGACTAGTGACTGACCGGACCGGAGTACAGCACATGCTTGTTGGCCAGATACCATGTGTACACCTTCCTCAGACTCTCCTGCTGCTTGCCAGACTTCACCCTGGAACAGGTCACATCATATTCACACAACGGTAGCACAAAACAGCATTAGTTCACCACATCCTATAGATAGTGGCTAGGTCACTGAGCAATGTAAACTGAACACAACTACTCAGAGATCACTTACTCCTTAACTTCACTCAGCATCTGGACAAGGATGTGGTAGAACCTGGTGTCCCGCTCTGCCTGATCCCTGCAACAGAGGGACACACTTGTACATCAGGTTCTGGCTTCCAGCACTTACATCAGGTCCTGGCTTCAAACACTTACATCAGGTCCTGGCTTCAAGCACTTACATCAGGTTCTGGCTTCAAGCACTTACATCAGGTCCTGGCTTCAAGCACTTACATCAGGTCCTGGCTTCAAGCACTTACATCAGGTTCTGGCTTCAAGCACTTACATCAGGTCCTGGCTTCAAGCACTTACATCAGGTCCTAGCTTCCAGCACTTACATCAAGTCCTAGCTTCAAACACTTACATCAGGTTCTGGCTTCAAGCACTTACATCAAGTCCTAGCTTCAAACACTTACATCAGGTCCTGGCTTCAAGCACTTACATCAGGTCCTGGCTTCCAGCACTTACATCAAGTCCTAGCTTCAAGCACTTACATCAAGTCCTAGCTTCAAGCACTTACATCAGGTCCTGGCTTCAAGCACTTACATCAAGTCCTAGCTTCAAGCACTTACATCAAGTCCTAGCTTCAAGCACTTACATCAAGTCCTAGCTTCAAGCACTTACATCAGGTCCTGGCTTCCAGCACTTACATCAGGTCCTGGCTTCAAGCACTTACATCAAGTCCTAGCTTCAAGCACTTACATCAGGTTCTGGCTTCAAGCACTTACATCAGGTCCTGGCTTCCAGCACTTACATCAAGTCCTAGCTTCAAGCACTTACATCAAGTCCTAGCTTCAAGCACTTACATCAGGTCCTGGCTTCAAGCACTTACATCAAGTCCTAGCTTCAAGCACTTACATCAAGTCCTAGCTTCAAACACTTACATCAGGTCCTGGCTTCAAGCACTTACATCAGGTTCTGGCTTCCAGCACTTACATCAAGTCCTAGCTTCAAGCACTTACATCAAGTCCTAGCTTCAAGCACTTACATCAAGTCCTAGCTTCAAACACTTACATCAGGTTCTGGCTTCAAACACTTACATCAGGTTCTGGCTTCAAGCACTTACATCAGGTCCTGGCTTCAAGCACTTACATCAAGTCCTAGCTTCAAGCACTTACATCAAGTCCTAGCTTCAAACACTTACATCAGGTTCTGGCTTCAAACACTTACATCAGGTTCTGGCTTCAAGCACTTACATCAGGTCCTGGCTTCAAGCACTTACATCAAGTCCTAGCTTCAAACACTTACATCAGGTTCTGGCTTCAAACACTTACATCAGGTTCTGGCTTCAAGCACTTACATCAAGTCCTGGCTTCAAACACTTACATCAGGTCTTGGCTTCAAACACTTACATCAGGTCTTGGCTTCAAACACTTACATCAGGTTCTGGCTTCAAGCCATTACATCAGGTCCTAGCTTCAAACACTGACATCAGGTCCTGGCTGCAAGCATTTACATCAGGTCGTGGCTTCAAACACTCACATCAGGTTCTGGCTTCAAGCAGTTACATCAGGTCCTAGCTTCAAACACTTACATCAGGTCCTGGCTTCAAGCAGACTTACATCAGGTCCTGGCTTTACACAGACTTACATCAGGTCCTGGCTTCAAACCCTTACATCAGGTCCCTGCTTTAAACACTTACATCAGCTCCTGGCTTCAAACCCTTACATCAGGTCCTGGCTTCAAACACTTACATCAGGTCCTGGCTTCAAACCCTTACATCAGGTCCTAGCTTCCAACACTTACATCAGGTCCTGGTTTCCAACCCTTACATCAGGTCCTAGCTTCAAACCCTTACATCAGGTCCTGGTTTCCAACACTTACATCAGGTCCTGGCTTCAAACCCTTGCATCAGGTCCCTGCTTCAAACACTTACATCAGGTCCTGGCTTCAAACCCTTACATCAGGTCCTAGCTTCAAACCCTTACATCAGGTCCTGGCTTCAAACCCTAACATCAGGTCCTGGCTTCCAACACTTACATCAGGTCCTGGCTTCAAACCCTTACATCAGGTCCCTGCTTCAAACACTTACATCAGGTCCTGGCTTCAAACCCTTACATCAGGTCCTACCTTCAAACCCTTACATCAGGTCCTGGCTTCCAACACTTACATCAGGTCCTGGCTTCAAACCCTTACATCAGGTCCCTGCTTCAAACACTTACATCAGGTCCTGGCTTCAAACACTCACATCAGGTCCTGGCTTCAAACCCTTACATCAGTTCCTGGCTTCAAGCACACTTACATCAGGCGCTGGCTTCAAACCCTTACATCAGGTCCTGGCTTCAAGCACACTTACATCAGGTCCTGGGTTTTCCCTGTAAGATGGGCCAGTTTGAGGTCATGGTGATGGCGCTCAATGGCACCATACATGTCCTTGAACTCATTCAGGGTCATCATCTAACAGAGAAACATATAAAATGAAAGGCTCCCTCACACAACTACTGTGGTTACTGAGCATAATGTGCAGGTCTTAAGAGTTTGCATGCAGGTGCCTTTTCACATTGCCTGTGTATATATGCAAAAGTAATTTTGTAAGGTAAATGATAGGCACAAGCACACTGTGAGGCTGATCTCCGGTCACAGAGGGCATGCATTCATGTCAATTTCACAGACCAGGACTGCGTTCCAGTTATTTTCACTGATGAATTAAGATGCTTTCAGGACTTCACAGATCATCATGCCCGAATGAGATGTAAACGAGGAGAAAGATTTCAGGATTCCAACGAAGCCAAACATACCCAATATGGTATGGGCTCAATCATGATTTGGGGTGGGATCAGTAGAGCTGGGAGAACCAATCTCCATGTCCTACAGCTGGGCACGATGACAGGTGCACCCTGGAAGGGATGAGACCGTATGGGGGAGCAATCGGACAGGACTTCATCTTCATGGACAATTACTCACGACCTCATTGTGCCAGGGTCGTTCATGCCTATTTTGAGTATGAGACCATTGTCCACATGGAGTGGCCAGCCCGGTTATCAGACCTATTCCCTATCGAACACATGTGGAACCAGCTGCAGATCACCCTCTCACGACACATAATGCTCTTACTGTCATCCAGACATTTATTGGGAGCATACTACGACGGTGCCAGGCTGTGAACACATCATGTAGATCAAATACCCGCTACAGAGAGTTTCACATATGTGTTCACAGGCTTTTATTCATTAAACATGTCTTCATGCAATAATGTCTTTGGCTATTTCAACAGATGCACAAAATTTGAAATATAACTTTTAAGGTGGTGATCCTTAGCAAACTTTGAGTAGTATATTTTGAATATCGCAATGGCACATTAATACTTAGCACATAACAGTCATGAGTAACGAAAGAGCCATATTTGTTGATTATCAAAGGTGATGGTGATAATGCACATTTTACCATGAATTTGGAATTTACTCGATTCTGATTGGTCATTCAGAGGCTATTAAATCACAATAACCCCCTCTGATTGAAACAGCTGGTTTGATGGCCGCATCACTGCAGAAGCTAATATTCATAGAATATTACTTTTTTTCAGTCATTGTCTGTAGGCATATTTGAATAATAATATCTACAATTACAGGTTACAAAATGCACACATGCAGTTACTATAATATGACGTCATAATGTTTGAGTGAAGTATTACGGTGTAAATAAACCGCTTGAGTATATACAGCGCCATATGTTGTTTGGTGACTCCATAATTCAGATCGATAACGCACTCAAAGCACTGGACTCAACCCATGCCTCATGCTGAGCGTTCGGTTCCAAATTCAATTAAGTGCAGTTAAATCTACAGGTAACCTAGTTCTACATTGAAAACACAGTATGGTTATCTCCTAATTAGATACAGGTAACCTAGTTCTACATTGAAAACACAGTGTGGTTATCTCCTATTAAGATACAGGTAACCTAGTTCTACATTGAAAACACAGTATGGTTATCTCCTAATTAGATACAGGTAACCTAGTTCTACATTGAAAACACAGTATGGTTATCTCCTAATTAGATACAGGTAACCTAGTTCTACATTGAAGACATAGTATGGTTATCTCCTAATTAGATACAGGTAACCTAGTTCTACATTGAAAACACAGTATGGTTATCTCCTAAGTAGATACAGGTAACCTAGTTCTACGTTGAAAACACAGTGTGGTTATCTCCTAATTAGATACAGGTAACCTAGTTCTACATTGAAAACACAGTATGGTTATCTCCTAATAAAATACAGGTAACCTAGTTCTACATTGAAAACACAGTATGGTTATCTCCTATTAAGATACAGGTAACCTAGTTCTACATTGAAGACGTAGTATGGTTATCTCCTAATTAGATACAGGTAACCTAGTTCTACATTGAAAACACAGTATGGTTATCTCCTAATTAGATACAGGTAACCTAGTTCTACATTGAAGACATAGTATGGTTATCTCCTAATTAGATACAGGTAACCTAGTTCTACATTGAAAACACAGTATGGTTATCTCCTAATTAGATACAGGTAACCTAGTTCTACATTGAAGACACAGTATGGTTATCTCCTAATTAGATACAGGTAACCTAGTTCTACATTGAAAACACAGTATGGTTATCTCCTAATTAGATACAGGTAACCTAGTTCTACATTGAAAACACAGTATGGTTATCTCCTAATTAGATACAGGTAACCTAGTTCTACATTGAAGACATAGTATGGTTATCTCCTAATTAGATACAGGTAACCTAGTTCTACATTGAAAACACAGTATGGTTATCTCCTAATTAGATACAGGTAACCTAGTTCTACATTGAAAACACAGTATGGTTATCTCCTTATTAGATACAGGTAACCTAGTTCTACATTGAAAACACAGTATGGTTATCTCCTAATTAGATACAGGTAACCTAGTTCTACATTGAAAACACAGTGTGGTTATCTCCTAATTAGATACAGGTAACCTAGTTCTACATTGAAAATACAGTATGGTTATCTCCTAATTAGATACAGGTAACCTAGTTCTACATTGAAAACACAGTATGGTTATCTCCTAATTAGATACAGGTAACCTAGTTCTACATTGAAAACACAGTATGGTTATCTCCTAATTAGATACAGGTAACCTAGTTCTACATTGAAAACACAGTGTGGTTATCTCCTAATTAGATACAGGTAACCTAGTTCTACATTGAAAACACAGTATGGTTATGTCCTAATTAGATACAGGTAACCTAGTTCTACATTGAAAACACAGTATGGTTATCTCCTAATTAGATACAGGTAACCTAGTTCTACATTGAAGACATAGTATGGTTATCTCCTAATTAGATACAGGTAACCTAGTTCTACATTGAAAACACAGTATGGTTATCTCCTAATTAGATACAGGTAACCTAGTTCTACATTGAAAACACAGTGTGGTTATCTCCTAATTAGATACAGGTAACCTAGTTCTACATTGAAAACACAGTATGGTTATCTCCTAATTAGATACAGGTAACCTAGTTCTACATTGAAAACACAGTGTGGTTATCTCCTAATTAGATACAGGTAACCTAGTTCTACATTGAAAACACAGTATGGTTATCTCCTTATTAGATACAGGTAACCTAGTTCTACATTGAAGACATAGTATGGTTATCTCCTAATTAGATACAGGTAACCTAGTTCTACATTGAAAACACAGTGTGGTTATCTCCTAATTAGATACAGGTAACCTAGTTCTACATTGAAAACACAGTATGGTTATCTCCTAATAAGATACAGGTAACCTAGTTCTACATTGAAAACACAGTATGGTTATCTCCTAATTAGATACAGGTAACCTAGTTCTACATTGAAGACATAGTATGGTTATCTCCTAATTAGATACAGGTAACCTAGTTCTACATTGAAAACACAGTATGAATATCTCCTAATTAGATACAGGTAACCTAGTTCTACATTGAAAACACAGTATGGTTATCTCCTAATTAGATACAGGTAACCTAGTTCTACATTGAAAACACAGTGTGGTTATCTCCTAATTAGATACAGGTAACCTAGTTCTACATTGAAAACACAGTGTGGTTATCTCCTAATTAGATACAGGTAACCTAGTTCTACATTGAAAACACAGTATGGTTATCTCCTAATAAAATACAGGTAACCTAGTTCTACATTGAAAACACAGTATGGTTATCTCCTATTAAGATACAGGTAACCTAGTTCTACATTGAAGACGTAGTATGGTTATCTCCTAATTAGATACAGGTAACCTAGTTCTACATTGAAAACACAGTATGGTTATCTCCTAATTAGATACAGGTAACCTAGTTCTACATTGAAGACATAGTATGGTTATCTCCTAATTAGATACAGGTAACCTAGTTCTACATTGAAAACACAGTATGGTTATCTCCTAATTAGATACAGGTAACCTAGTTCTACATTGAAAACACAGTGTGGTTATCTCCTAATTAGATACAGGTAACCTAGTTCTACATTGAAGACACAGTATGGTTATCTCCTAATTAGATACAGGTAACCTAGTTCTACATTGAAAACACAGTATGGTTATCTCCTATTAAGATACAGGTAACCTAGTTCTACATTGAAGACACAGTATGGTTATCTCCTAATTAGATACAGGTAACCTAGTTCTACATTGAAGACATAGTATGGTTATCTCCTAATTAGATACAGGTAACCTAGTTCTACATTGAAGACACAGTATGGTTATCTCCTAATTAGATACAGGTAACCTAGTTCTACATTGAAGACATAGTATGGTTATCTCCTAATTAGATACAGGTAACCTAGTTCTACATTGAAAACACAGTATGGTTATCTCCTAATTAGATAAGATCATAGAACATTTATTAAACACTTTAAAACCATAAAGTTGCACCACAGATGTTGGTGAAATCGACTGAAGCACAAGAAAGCACAATGACTTACAATCATGAAAGACGTCTGTGATAATCTGACCTTAGGTCATAATCATGGGGTAACTAATCACAGACCTGGAATTCGATCGCACACATATGTTTGATACCAGTTATCTAAACTGGGCTTCTCACCCACAGGTGTGGAGGAATCTTCTCACAAACACAATGACACACAGATAACAGGATGCACCATGACGTCATCCAGATTTGTAAAAAACAATCAGTGTAAATAGAAAGCCATGTTAATATTACACCACTAATCTCTTGCTTGTTAAACAGGCGTGGTGTTCAATAGTTTCCCCCTGAAATACACTTGTTATGACATAAAATCAATGGGGAACCCTAAACTGACAGGTGACTCGGACAATATAATCTACGAGGCATTCCCTTGTCGGGTCAACAGTGACTGGGTAGACTTGATTCAGGGTAATGCATGGGACATCTAATGCTTTGTAGTATATGGGACATCTAATGCTTTGTAGTATATGGGACTTCTAATGCTTTGT